TTTTTTTTAATTTAAATGTTTGTCCTGTCACGTGAATGTGACATCCATACAATGACCTTTAATTCTTGACAAATGACTGAAGTCGGATGAAAATTTGAAATATTAAATAGAGTGTGCACAGTTCTTGCTTTGCAGTCTAATAGACAGAAATCAAAATCTGTCAATTAAGATATTTAAAAATATAACACAATTTCTTATATTTTTATTTGATATACACGGATAGGCATGGTGGGGTAATGGATAGTAGCTTGGAGAGCCAAGTTCAAATTCCATTTGAATCCATTACATTCACTTACATGCTAATACCCTTGGTAAAGGTATGAATCCTCTTCTTCTTCCCCCAGCTATGGGTAAATAGCAGAAGAGACTTGGATGGTGACAGGTTCACCACAGAAAGAAATGACAACCTACTGTGGGAAAAAATCTGCCTCGTCAGTCATGTATCAAAAGATACATGATTGCCTAAGCGTATGTCATGCATGGCACATAAATGACTGACTCACAAATACACACACATTTCAGAAGATGTCTTATTTTTTAAGCAGCCTGTGCATTTCTACCAGCCTGTGTATTTAAGAATATTCATAAAGAATATGTGCATTCTACCAGGACATGGGTATCTACTAAAAATAATTTTTGAAGTAATAAAAATATCAAATTAAAAATAAATCCTTTAATTCTTTCAAAATGACATTATAAATATATCTGTCGTTCACTGCTACCAACAAGCAGAAATATTTCTTCTCCTGATGATGGCCATTTTGGCTGAAACTAGTCAAAGAATCTAAATGAAATAATAATAATAAAAAGGAAAGAATATTAATCTACAACCCAGTGTGTCTGAAGATTTTATTTTTTTAATATTTTAAAAAAATTTTTTTATTGTTCAAAATATATATATATATATATATATATATATATATATATATATATATATATATCATGTTGTTGTTATTAAGGTATATGTTGTTAAGAACTATGGAACTTTACTGTATGATAATCTTTTTTTCACTTTTTTCTTGCTTTCTCGCAAGTTTTTTGATATTTGGGTCTAAGTTGTTGAAATAAGAACCTGGTCCATGGTATTTTGCCAGGCGTTTTTGGTTATCGCCAACCGTCATCATAGCTGTATGTTTTGGTTTGAAATAAGTTATTTATTATTTTAGTTTTATAGATAATACTTTGGGTATTTAGACGATGTTGTTGGACCAGTTCATTATTAATAAGGAGGGGGGTTGATGTTTATTATTTGAAGGATTAGTTATTAAATATGTTTAAGATGTTTTTGCCAGTATTAAATACTATTTTATTTATGTTAGGTTTTTGTTTTTTTAATTAGGATGGCTTGAAGAATTTGTCCATATATATATATGAATACAGACAAAAGGAAAAATTATCTTAGCAGATGTGTTTTGTCCTCTGATGGACAACGTAAATCAGAGGACAAAACGCGTCAGCTAATAAGTTTTCATTTTGCCAGTATTCATATTGTCCTTTTACAGATATATTTTAGTTATATCTAAAAAATTTACGCACACACACACACACACACACACACACACACACACACACACACACACACATATATATATTACTTTAAACGGATACATGTGTGTGACATCTCTGTTTTTAAACAATGTATATCAATGTCTGCCATCCTGTGTCTTTGAGAGTCCTACTAAATAAAATGTGCCTTCCACAAGGGTTGGAACCTACATTGGGGAAACCATTGTAAAACATGGAATATTTTTAGACTACTCAGCCATGGAGGCTTTCACAGTCAAGCAAGATTCAATTATCTTATTGAAGAAATGCACATCTCTTCTTCAAATCTCTCCAAGCCTATATCTGCTAATTTTTATTTTCACATTCAAAATATAAACAAAGTAATTTCTAAGGAATTAAATAGATTTATTTATAATACAAGAGTATTTCTCATTACTTTAAATGCTATATTTATGGATGCCCTTGTTCCACTAGAAATCACTGTTTTTAAAATAATGTAAATATATACACTTGTAGACAGAATTATTCACACACACTGAATATGTGCATATTTTCTAAGGAAATGTGAATATTTGCAGGTACTTATTGAATTTACCATAAATAGTTGATTTTGTATTTGTTGTATAAGAGTAAGTGTCGTTGCCAACACTGTGGTTTGAAACTAGATCACCAGTGAGTAACATGGGCAATTCCATTATTAAGTAGATCATGTAATCATAAAGGAAGTGAATAAACAGGAAGTAGCGTGATGACTATACGATCACTGTTCACTCTTGTCTATCCATTATTGCTATATGTTCACTCTCTCTACTCTGGATTATGATTCTCTTCTGATCATTGTACTATTTGGTGATTACTACTTGAACAAGTATTACTAGTGAGGATATTATTGGAAGCCGTTACTACTAGTACCGGCATCTACAAAGTCTTGAATATAATGAGCATTTTAAGCAGTGATAACAGGCTTTTGTTTGAATGACTTACATGTGCTTTTGCCATTTAATGTGCACACATAATTTGAGCAACTTTGAAATAAGACATTGAAATAATACTTTCTCCTCCCACTCAGTCTAGACAACTGGGTTGAGCAATAAAATCATAAAGTTGGAGACGAGTAAAAATAATTAATATCTTAAACCCTAAAAAATCAGATAAATATAAGATTTTACTGAACTTTTCAGAAATTATGAAATAATATTGCTCTATGGCAATTGCAATGTTTTTTCTTCATTTGACATTTAATACAAACACCCTTTGAAAATGTATTGACCTGATTCTATAACATTTTAAAAGGTAATGAAGAAGACAATATGTGAGTGTCAAGTACCGCCATTACTCATTCATTCTGCAACCATGGCAAAGACGGCTAAACAAGGTGATGAATATACAACATTTTTCAAGCATTTAAATATTCCTAAATTGACAATTTGTAGCATTATCAAGAAGTACAACAAGATTCATTGTGTTGAGAATAAATTAAGGACTGGCAGAAAATAGTTAATTTCTGAGAGAATGGAAAGGAAAATTATTAGAGATGTCTTGAAGAATCCTCACTTAACGACAAAGGATATTGTCAATGATGTAAAGACATCAGTGTTGAATGTGTCATGTCCACTAAAATATCTAATAAAATATGCAACATATTTAACACAATAAAATTATTATGTTAATTATAAACTTAATTATGAACTTATTAATTTTAAACATGAGAAGCATTTTCAGCCAACCTAGCTACATAAACATTAAAACTCGCTTATAAAATATTTATAAACCAATAACACGCAATAAAGTGCTTATACTTTAAAACATACCAATAAAACTGTACAATAAAAATATTATAGAGTACAAATCAGAATGGTTGTTTTATTAGTCATCAGAATTCAGAAAGATCCCACCAAAATACTATGTGGACATAGTAGACATACCATGTGGCTTTTTAGGGCAATAAATAAAATAATATAATTCTGGAGCTGATTTCATCTGAAAAAATATATAAAAATCACAAAATTCATCCCCAACAAAACAGACTGCTGATATTCAAGACTCCATTCACATCCACATGCAAAAGCAATGCCTGACTCAGCAGCACTGATCAAACTACAAAGAGACCACTTCAAACTACAGCACCACCATCCACAGTAAGAACTAAATTCTACCTATCTCCTTTATCCACATTACTACTACACACGCATACATATACTCTTTCACACAAACACACATGACCATATTTCACCATTCTCACAGACATATGCAATACAGTTTATATTCTATCCAAGAACTCTATTAACAACCAAAAATTATTCATTCAATACATTCTGTTATAGTGAAACACACCTATTCTATTGTTAATAGACTCTCCCACCTATAATAAGTAGGAGTAGTAGCAGTCGCTCAGTAAGTCAGTGAGTGAGTCGCTCAGCGAGTTGGTCAGTCAGTCGATGCCGGACGACCGTTAGTCGGATACTAAAAGTATCAGCGAACACCACTAGATTTCTTTGCGTCATTACCTATTATATCAAGTTTCTAACGTTTCGTACGTCGAACCTATTTTAGGACCGACTTAGTGAAATACAAGCCTCCACTGTGAAACTACTCTATAACACATTCAACAAACTTAATGTTATTTGTTAATACTATGTTGTCTTTTCCTACTGGATTTTATTCTTTCAATGAAAGTCGTGGGATTATTTTAAACAGCCAAATTACGAGCAGTCCCACAACAATATTCTATGTTATTGTATCGAATCCTGAAACTCCAAGCTTTGATGTTTAGCAAAAACCTGAGTAGAAGAATTTCTACAACAGTATTGATGAAGGGAGTCACTAGATGCTTTCATCAAGCAGGAATTCAAGCTTGTTGCCCAATGCAAACTTACTTGCTTAAGGCTAAACACCTAAAATGCAGATTAGCTTCTCCTAAAACATGGGAGTAAATATTGGAATTTACGAAAATACGAGAAAGAGCTTCAGCAGTGGATTGTGAACGGCTGGCTGATTCCGTACCCCCAGGAAAGACTGGGACCCCAAAAGGGTCTGATTCCCTTGATGGCAGTCGTGCAGGAGCAGAAACAGAAGGTGCGTCCGGTACTCGATTACACGCGAATTGAACGACTTTGAGGATGCCTTCACTGCCGATGCAGAAGTGTGTGCACATAAGTTGAGAACGTGGCGGCGGCAGGGAGTCAATGTGTCACTTCTGGATCTGCGGAACGCATATCTTCAGATTCACATCGACGAAGTGCTGTGGCCATTTCAAACGGTTAGTTAACGCGAAATCTCGTTGTCTCGTCATTCGCATGCAAATCGTGGTTGGTCCGCGGCTGTATAAAGCAGGCTCGTTTTTGCTGTTTCAGATCAGAGGGCTTTCGCTCGTGAGAGGTTGGATGTCGACACGGTTTTCTTTTACCATTGGAAGGACCAGCAGACAAAACCGAGCACGACTACGCTGCTATCGCTGCAAAGAGTTAGGCCATGTAGCACAGGATTGCTCGGGAATGAGTCCGGGGACAAGGTGCTGTCGCAACCCTTGCCCCCTCTCGGTCAGTAAATGTGGCATTGCCTGTTGTCAACGTGTACGTTGAGGGTAAATGATGTTCGGCGCTCGTTGACACTGGATGTTCCCGATCGATCGTTAATGCGGATCGATGCGTGACATGGAACAGTCAACAAATCAAGATTCGGACGATTGACAGGGTGTCCCGGGCCTGTTGTGGTGTCGGGACTGTGTCAGTCCTAACAGACGGAGGGAGTCATGCCAAAGTCGACGTCTTGGTGGCACGTCAAAGGCCCCTCGGGTACGACCTGCTACTTGGGATTGATGCGATCCGAGCATTAGAAGGCATGATGATCACGCCAGCCGGAAATGTGGAACTGGGTGAAAGAAGAAAGGTGCGTGCAGCCCTTTGCATTAGTGAGCCAGATTTCGACGTCTCCTTCAATTCCGACGAGAGGATGTGGACCGCCAGGTGGAAATGGGCCCAAAAAGACCCGCCAGTTCAGCTTCGCAACAAGGTTGCAGAGTACAAAGTTCCGACAGCATCAGAGGAAAATACGAGAAAGAGCTTCAGCAGTGGATTGTGAACAGCTGGCTAATTCCGTACCCCCAGGAAAGACTGGGACCCCCAAAGGGTCTGATTCCCTTGATGGCAGTCGTGCAGGAGCAGAAACAGAAGGTGTGTCTGGTACTCGATTACCACGAATTGAATGACTTTGTGGATGCCTTCACTGCCGATGCAGAAGTGTGCGCACATAAGTTGAGAACGTGGCGGCGGCAGGGAGTCAATGTGTCACTTCTGGATCTGCGGAACGCATATCTTCAGATTCACATCGACGAAGTGCTGTGGCCATTTCAAACGGTTAGTTAATGCGAAATCTCGTTGTCTCGTCATTCACATGCAAATCGTGGTCAGTCCGCGGCTGTATAAAGCAGGCTCGTTTTTGCTGTTTCAGATCAGAGGGCTTTCGGCTCGTGAGAAGGTTGGACGTGCGACACCGGTTTTCTTTGTGCCTACCTGCTATCATCAGTTGAGTTGTTGCATTACACACCACAGTCTTATGGTCAGATGAAAGCAAAACTAGAATTATTTGGTCATATGAACTCCTATTATGTATGAAGGAAAGTGAATGAAGATCATAAACCAAAAAATAACCTCCCTACAATTAAGCACAGTGGTGGGAGCATTCTGCTCTGGGGATGTTTTGCTGCTTCTGGACCAGGAGAACTAGTGAGAGTAAAGGATATCATGGATAAAGAGCAGTATTTGGCTATTCTTAAAAATAATATAAAACAAAATTCATGAAGGCTGTCATTGGGGAGTCAATGGATGGCTGAAACGCACAACCCGAATTGTCACAATATACTTAGATAACAGTAAAATTAAGGTATTAGCATACCTTACACAAAGTCCTGACCTTAAACCCCACTGAAAATTTATGGGCATATTTGAAGAAAAAAGTCAGAGAAAGAAGTCCTTCAATTTGGAGAAACTAGAATGGAACAAAATACCTATCAGTGTGTGTTGGGATCTTGTAAGGAATTATCAAAAATGATTAAAGGCAATAATGAAGAATAAAGGTTACACAATTGATTATTGAGGCAAGAGGGCCAATAATTTTGTCCTTTGTTAAATGTTTTTTGGTGTTTTTGTATTATTGTTTGACAATAAATTTCTATGAAAATTTGAGGCTTACAGCTTTATTTGTAATTATGAAAGGGTGGGGGTGCTGAATAATTCTGTCCACAATTGTGTGTGTGTGTGTGTGTGTGTGTGTGTGTGGACTTAATTTATAATTTATGCCTCAAAGCCAAAGGGCTGATTGCACCAAAACAGCCAGGAGGCTGAGTAACTGCATTTTCACTAGTAGTCATAGCTGATAAGATATACGAAAAAAATCCTGTTGTTTTTTACAACTCTTGTGCTATTAGTATATGTCGGTAGTATAAGTCATATTCGCAAGGAAAGTGGAAATAAAAACCGAGTTCAAATTCCAGTCTGGTCTGTTATGTTCACTTTCACAGAAATGATTTTCTGCTTCCCCTCAGCTAAGGGTTAAATAAGGTAGATTGAACCTTCTACCCTTGGTCTAAGACACCAGGGAGAAGGCAATGAGAAAACAATCTTTGCCAAGAAGCCATGGTATTTCACAGATATTTTTTATACTAAAATTCATTGTCACTCTAAGTAAATGGTTACTGATAGAATGATTATGATGAATAAAGTATGCAAGATGAATGTGAATGGAGTTGGTAAGAAGTGAAGATTATGAGGATGATGAAGATAGATGACAACTGATGCATAACTTGAAGAGGTTCGAAAAAAGTTCTTGGCAAAAAGCTGTCTGAGTCAAACTTTCTTACATTTGTAATACAGAGGAAATGAGGAAATGAGGGTAATTTGACCCCATAAAAGTAACATGTTGTATCCTAGCTGTAAAGGAAATAAAAAAATAAAAGGGATCTGTGGAAAGTTGGGATCACCAATCTCCTGAAGAGACATGGCAAAAAGAATTTCTATACTATTACTTATTAAAGATACTTACATTAGGTACATTTTTTACAAATAAAATCATTATAGACTACTAGTAATAGTCATGAAAATTTCATGTTTTTTTTTATTTTAATTTTATGATGAATGACTGAATAAATACCTTGCAAGTTCCACGACCATAAAATACCCATTAAATTCTGCTATTGCTTTATTAAATATTTGAGTTTAACAACTGTGACAAAATATTACAATAACAATTTGTTGTCGCATTTCTACAAACGATAATGAGTATATTTTCATTCACATAAATACAGTAGTAAATGCTGTATGTTGGTCTTCAGTTGGAGATTCATTGTGGAATTCACTTGACTCACTTCTAACAGTTGACTACTTCTTTTATGCACCACTGGCGAATCTTATATGTGTTGTTTGTGTCCTAAGTATTATCGTTTATTACCAATCTTTGTTTGCTTATTCTATTCAGTAACCTTCCCTAGGTTGCAACACAATTGTAAATATGAATGCAGGTCATTATTTAAAATAGTAAGAGGGCACAGATGAAAAGATTAAAATTGATAAGTTTTCCATTTCACTGAAGCAGACATTAAACGCAAGAGAGCATTATCACCACCTCTATCTTCTCTTTCTTTTTTCTTTCTTTCTTTTTGTCTTTTTTCTCATTGAAACCAAACAACATCTTTTGTTGAAATCAAAACAGAATAGTCAAATAATTAGGAAGTAATGTTAAACCACAACATGCAACATACATGCTAACTAAGTAATTAAGGAACAAGGAGAATTATAATATGATAGTGAATTAATATCTGTAATGGACATGGAAATGTGAGAAATTGAATAAAAACTTTTTTTTTATTTTCATAGCCATAATAATATCACCAATTGATGTTGAAAAATTTGTTATGGCAACAAGAGATGGCAATATTCAGATTGATGTCTTTTTTTCCACAAATCACAATATTGTAAAATGTAAAAGTCATAAAAAATGAAACTAATGTCACTTGTAAGAAATGTCTATGATTAATTGGGAAAAAAATGCTTATTGCAAGATTTACTTGTCACCAGATTAAAAGGGATACAAGTTCGGATTGGCTTAGTCATTTGTTAGGACTGACAAATGATGAATAATGGAAGGCTGGCTCTGAGATCCTAACCCTAACCCAAGAACCATCTGGTGTATAAGTATAACAGCTGCTGTTGTTGAACTGGGCCTCTTCTGAAGGAAGTACAGGTCAAAGCACAAAAGACATGGTAGATTAGAGAAGACAGGTTTCATTCTTAGGAGACAATGGGTTTATTAATTCATTCATTGGTCACATACACATGCACACATGCAAACACACTTCAATTTAAGATTTATGCAAATTTTCCTTTGTTTTCCATTTGCTGTTTCCATCCTGGTCACCTCAATAATAATTGGCTTAATAACCATGTTTTCCTGTTGGATATGTCCACATAGAAATTCAGTGCTCTGATTTCCATGCATTTGCATTATTTTATATTTAAATGATGACCAAATGATCAAAGATCAGACTTTCTTTGAGGGCTGGGCTACTTCTGAGTTGGTTCTACAAATTTTCAGCAGCATGGGTAATTGAGACTTACTTTGCTATAAAGTGTTTCATAGCTGAGCATTTGAAAAGCATGCTGGAATACATACACACACACACATTATATATATATATATATATATATATATATATATATAGTTTAAAGTTTACTGTATTCATCAAGAGGGGTCAATATCAAGGAGTTTGTAGTATAAAAAGGATGTACAAAAAAATCATTACTGTATGTAACTGTCAATTTCATACCTTTTGTTATCATTAGATCATATATATATATATATATATATATATATATATAGCAGATGTCATTATTTTTATATCAAATTTGTCTGTAGATTAATTTTTAAACAATTTTTTTAAGATATCAATATCTTTTATAATTAGGTATTTCTAAGTAATGCTACATATTACTTTATTTTATTTATACATAAAATTTTATACACTAATTTTACTATGAAAATCTATGTAATAATAAAATTGATATCTAATGATATACTTATATGGTCCGATGATCACTACACACACACCCACACATTACTGAGAATACAATGGATGAAGCATGTAAACAACAAGGAAGTTTTAATTTAAATGGAAACAAAACTGTCGTTCATACATAAAATCAAAAAGAGACAGCTGAAATTTCTGGAAAATGTGGAAAACCATGATTGCCCATATACTAATGGGATACAACACACAAAATATATATATATATATATATATATATATATATATATATATATATATATATTTATTTATATATATGTGTGTGTGTGTGTGTTAAATAATGTTTTGTGGTATATTGTCAGCTGTCAATATACCACTTAACACCCTTGAGCACTTAGCTTTGGAGTGGGTAGAATGGAGATTAATGTGCTTTAGTGGACTCAGCAGTTTTCAATCTGCTTGTCTGAATCATTTTCAAGAATTGAGAACAAGATCTAAAAGGTCAGCCAATCTAACATCTCACAATCCTCACTCTTGCCCCATATGTGGCCTCCT